TTCAAAGTGCTGTCTTTAACCTGTAAAGTCCTAAATGGCCTGGGTGCAAGCAATCTTAAAAAGCTTGCCTTCTATTATGAATTGGCTTGAGTGTTAAGATCACCAGGAGAGGCATTTCTTCTGGACACGCCACCTTCACAGGTGTATCTGATGGGGGCCTTCTCTGTTGCTGCTTCCAGACTTTGGAACTCCCTTCCACAGGAGGCCAGACTGGCCCCATCTTTGCTATCCTTCTGCAAGCAGGGAAAGATCTTTCTTTTCAGGCAAGCCTTTCCTCAGTAACTAGCTACCTGTGTGTGATTTTTAAAAAATAGTTTACTATGCATTACTGCTTTGATTTGATCTTTAGTACTACTGTACTTGTGTTTTCCATTTTTATGTTTCCCATTTCTCAGAAGTATTTTTAAAGAATTGCATACTTGTTAATATTTGCCTTAATATTGCCTGTTAATGATGTAAGATGCCTCCTTACTCATTGTTTGTAGTTCTAAATATTGCCTTTTAAGGATGTTAACCACCATTGTATCTTCATTGTTTTCATCTTTAAATATTGTCTTTTTCTTGTAAGCCACCTTGGGTCCTTTTCAGGGAGAAAGGTGGGGTGAAAATATTTTAAAATAAGTTAATAAATAATAGTACAGGGGTGCCTCACAAGACAAATGCCTGTCAGGACAAAAAACTCACAAGACATTTTGGCAATGGGGTTGATGACTCGCAAGACAAATGTTCCTATGGCCATGCTTTGCAAGAAGAATGTTTTCCGTTTTTTGTTCCTGCCTCATGTTTGCTGATTTTTAAATGTTTTTCTATGATGTTTAAAAAGTTAAAGTTTTTTAATTGGAATTTTTTAAATCATCTGCACAATATGTATGGCTTTAAAGAGCACTTAATAAATCCTTTGTAAACCAAATCTGACTTTGTTCTGACTTTTTTTGCCCATAGGAATGCATTAATTAGATTTAAATGCATTGCTATGAGAAAACGTGTTTCACAAGACAAATTTTTCGCAAGACAACATTAACCGCGGAACAAATTAAATTTGTCTTGCGAGGCACCACTGTACAGTTTACCTATTGTAGCACAAGGCAGTCATTCCACATATCCCAACCAATATATACCTTTTTGATTATTTTATAGACTTCATAGGCTGCTCCACGAGCACTGGCCAGACTCTCCAAATTGGGGGAAGCTTGTCCAATGGAAAATGCACCAATAAGCACAGCAAAAAACACCTATGGAACAACAGTAGGTAAATGATCATTTTTGGTTTTTAGGTTCTCCTGTGAGTTAGTACAATACCAAAGCAACTGAGACTGCTGCTCTGTGTACATCTTAGTCCCATTCAACACAGAGAACTTACTCCCAAGTAAAACACACATTCACTCATACAGAATGACTATGTATGAAAGGAGCAATGTTGAAAAAAAACACTAACCTCTCCAGAACTGTTTATATTTTATAGTCACTTTCTTTAATGCATCCAATGAAAAAAAGAGTGTGATAAGTATTATAGTTAAAATTCTGGACATACCGTGGTTTTATTCAGAGTGAACAGTTCTTAATTGTAGAGATGGAAGAAATTATCTCTTTCTACTACATCTGGTAGCATATATTATCCACTGTGGTCAGTAGCCACAGCTGTGGGTCTAGGATGCACAATTTTTGAAAATGTATAGAACCAGACTTACAATTAACACTGTCCCAATATCATAGTTATCCTTCTCATCCACCGTGAGTTTTGTTCCATACCAAAAGGCAAGAGCATAGCATCCAAATATTAAAAACTGGGAGATTCCCAAAGAAAAATTAGTGGTTATGGTTTTTTTCAATCCAACGCTTCTAGCTGCCTCAAGGTTGGCATCATACCTGGAAAAAAAAGCCCCCCCAAAACATGTTGTTTCATATACCTTCTGCTTCCATACAGACAAGCACTACTGATTTTTTTCAAAAGCAATATTTAAATATTCTGAGGCTGGTGGACTCTCACTGCATTTTCCTATCTGAAGATGTGCACTGCTATTACAAAAAAAAATATGTTGGAAAAAAACAGACACACCTTATTTTGTAAATGCAGGAACAGGTGATGCCTTTATTAGCCCATTAAGAAAATAAAGCAAAAAGCAGAAAATAAAAAATAAAGTGAGTTTTTGCTGATCATTCATCTTCCTCATCAACATCTTGTGGCTAGTTCCAAAATTATATGCTTTTACTAAAGTCCCAGAGTCTCATGGCCGATGTAGAGACCATATTAACTTCTTAGATGGAAATAATTGCAGTATGCAAAGGCCCTGGATTCTGTGTGTGGCTTCAAACTTCTTCTCTGCCAGTATTTTGGAATTTATCACCCCCTCTTAAACAACAGGAAGCTAAGTACTCTGTATCTTCCTCATTTTTTCTTAATGAATTCTGAAAGCTCTTTGAAAGCTGAAGGAGTCAAATTCCTTCAGCTTTCAAAGACAAAGAGTAAAACTGATCTTTCGTTACATTGCAGTCATCACATTTAGAAAGACCTCTTACCTCCAAAGTGTAGTTGAACACAAAGAACCACATGACTTGGGAGAGAGGAAACCCAGAAAATTGTGGAAGGGTTGTAATTAGGTAGTAAAGCTATTATTTTACATGCTGAAGATTCCACATTCAACAACTGACATACGAATCGCTATAGCGATCGCAAAAAATCAATGTCTAGCGAAAAAACTGTCATGCGGGGTAACTGTCTAGCGAGGCACCACTGTGGGTAGTAAAGCTGTTACTTTACATACTGAAGATTCCACATTCAACAACTGACATAACCAGCTAAAGTCTACAGAGGCTCCTGCATGAAATCCTGATGACTGATTGCTAGTTAATGCAGGTATTATTCAAGGCAGAACCCTCACCATCTCCAGGTAGGACTGGGAAACTCCTCTTTCCAAAATCTTTGATACCTGCTGCCACCCAGAGTTGACAATATTGGGCTAGATGGACAAATAGTCTTGAGTCAATATAAGGCTGCTTCCCACAGCCCTACTGAAACAACTTGGTAAATGTTGTATATTGTTATTATGTGCCATCAAGTTGCTTCCAATTTATGGCAACCTAATGGATCAGCAAGCTCCACAGGATCCTATTGCCAACAGCTCTATGGAGCTCTTGCAAACTAAAGGCGGTGGCTTCCTTTATTGAGTCAATTCATCTCTTATTTGGCTGTCCTCTTTTTCTGCTGCCTTCAACTTTCCCCAGCATGATTGACCCTTGGAGTGAGTCCCGCCTTCGCATGATGTACCCCAAATACAATGGCCACAATTTAATCCCTTTTCCTTCTTGGGAGAGTCCAGGCTTGCTTTGATCAGTTCCTACTTTCATATGAATGCCATTTTACCTTGCTATTGCTTTCTTTTGTCCGTTGAAAGCAACAACTGTCCTAATGGCTGACAAGATTTCTTCTGCCACAGCACCCGCCTTTGCGTAAGCCGTCAGCTCTTTAGATGTCAACACTGACAGGAGCTGATAAAGCAACACAATTAGAGTCAGTTTATAGAACTACCAATAAAGGGGGATAATTATTTTACATGGTAAGACATCAAAAGTTTACTTTCTTGACATATTCTAATTCTAGTCTTGATAGCTAATTACTTTTATCCATTCTTATAATTACCTACAATACAAGATCCTAAATGAAACATCCATGCTAAATTCTTTAACATACAAACTACAAACAAACCCATGCTATTGGTAAAGCTATAGGACCTCTTAAACATGTTGTAGCTCAGGATCGCAGTGTGTCTTAAACTTGTCCCAGTTTTAACAAAATTAGAAATTAAATGACAACAAGTGCTGAGAACACCATAGCAAATTAATGGAGAGCTGTAGGAAAATGAAATATTATCAGACCAGTTCTAAACCTTCCCATACCTAGTGGGTAGTATCTTATTGGTGTTGGTGTAACTTGCCTAATGGCAAATTAATGAGGTGCCAGGGTGTGTCTCAATCATGTGCCTGGTGATGTGCACAGGTGCACAACCAAGATGCACCTCATTATCTCATCAGTTAGCTGCAATTTGATTTCATGGTTTGCGTAAACCTTATGCAAACAGCAATAGGATTGTGGACTATAGCTTTCAGAACTCCAAAAATATAAGACATACCAATTCACATTAGATATATCAGACTCAAATTAGAAGATTATTACATATTTATCCATCCTCCCCACTGAATTCCAATTTTAAAAACAGCACAGAGAATCTCCCGATAGTGTGAGGTGTTCAAGAGTGGAGGGATTTGCTTTGCTACAGAAAGGGAAAGACTTTTCTTTGTTAAAGGTTTTTAAGTAGAGACTGGATTACTGCCTCTTCTGGATTCAGCAGCAGTGAATCCCCTAAAGTGGCAAGGGAGTAATTACATTTTCTCTCAAGTTTGACTCAATGATTCAGTAATTTCTAATTCTACCAACTTACATAGGACCAGACACCACCGGATATAACCAGAAGAGGGCTCACAGACAGTATCACCAGGGTCAGTTTCCATCCATACACAAATCCTATGATAATGCCCGTCACAAATGTGGAAAAATGCTGAATGGTTATACTGATTTTGTCTCCAATGCCTCCATGAATGGTATTAATATCACTGCAATCAGAAAGAATGGAAAAACTGTGAATTGTCGCCCCTCCTGTTTTTGAATTGCATACTTTTCTGGTGTAATATATTAAGAGAACGCTCAGAGTGCTGAAGAATTGGAATTTAAGGAACTACCAGATAGATCAGTGATTTATGCATCTGGCTGTGGAGCCAAAGGTTGGGAGTTTGATTCCCCACTGTGCCTCCTTGACAGGGGCTGGACTCTTAACCACAGGGCTGCTTCCAGCTCTGCAGTTCTAAGGTGATGATGACGACGACAATCTGAGGAGAAACCAGAGGGACCAATACCTAAAACTTAAACAGCTGGGATCAAGAACACTTCCCTTCTATGAACGGTCCTATTTCTCCTGGCTGGCATAAACTACTATATGTCCTCTAGGACTGCCAAATTTCGGAAATGAGCCATGGAAAAGGCAGAACTTATTCTGTGCTTCATAAGTTCTTCAAGTTAATCTCACATCTTGATTTTTTTTTTGAGAATTGCATTATATTTTATTGCTTTTGTTTTACTGTTTTATGCCTTTTATGCTTGCTTATATGTACTTGCATGGGATGCCAAATGCTATTTTATGATTGGTTTAATCTACGTATGTTCTTGCATATAGCCTGGCCAACTACAAAACAATAATGTATTTGTATTATTATTACTGTTCGACTGATTAATTGATTGACTGTGAAGCTAAAAATCCTCATAAACCTCTTAGATGTTGGAGATTTTTATGTATGTATGTATGTATGTATGTATGTATGTATGTATGTATGTATGTATGTATGTATGTATGCATGCATGCATGCATGTATGTATTTTACTTACTTACTTACTTACTTACTTACTTACTTACTTACTTACTTACTTACTTACTTACTTACTTACTTACTTACTTACTTACTTACTTACTTACTTACTTACTTTATTTTATTGTTTATTTGTCTGTTTTCTTAAAGGTCCAGACCTTCAAGGATAATAAAAAGAGGAAGAAATAGTCCTACTTCTTTACTTTGTGTCCACTGTTTGAGGGACACAAGAACTCTGCACTGCCATGACTGTACATGGATCAGTTGTCACACAATTCCACAATGGAAGGACCACTCCTTCCCATTGAAACACAGGGAGGAGGAATGGGCTAAAGCCAACAGCATATGTGGTCTCTTTCATCATGGCTGGGAGCCATTTTTCAGATTTGCTGGTAGTCAAAGGGCATTATTCCCAAGGGAGTGGGACTAAAGAGGAAGGGATATAGCCAAAGAAAGTATTTAACATGCATATTTAAAAACTGTGCTACTGAAAAAGGCCCCTTGTGACCTCCAACAGCCAATTTAAAAAAACCCTCAGAACTAGTATCAGGATTTTGCAGCAGGTGTGCCTCCAGGGATGCTGGTTGTTGTTGTTGTTTAGTCGTTTAGTCGTGTCCTATTCTTCGTGATCCCATGGACCAGAGCACGCCAGGCCTCCTGTCTTCCACTGCCTCCCGGAGTTGGGTCAAATTCATGTTGGTCGTTTTGGTGACACTGTCCAACCATCTTATCCTCTGTCGTCCCCTCCTCTTGCTTTCACATTTTCCTAACATCAAGGTCTTTCCCAAGGATTCTTCTCTTCTCATGAGATGGCCAAAGTATTGGAGCCTCAGCTTCAAAGTATTGGAGCCTCGGCTTCTGTCCTTCCAGTGAACACTCAGGGTTGATTTCCTTTAGAATGGATAGGTTTGTTCTCCTTGCAGTGCAGGAGACTCTCAAGAGCCTCCTCCAGCACCACAATTCAAAGGCATCAATTCTTCAGCTGTCAGCTTTCTTTATGGTCCAGCTCTCACTTCCATATATCACTACAGGAAAAACCATAGCTTTGACTATTTAGACTTTTGTTGGCAATGTGATGTCTCTGCTTTTTAAGATGCTGTCGAGGTTTGTCATCGCTTTCCTCCCAAGAAGCAGGTGTCTTTTAATTTCGTGGCTGCTGTCTCCATCTTCAGTGATCATGGAGTTTTACAACCAAACTGGAGTAAATAATAATCTAATATTAATCTTAGAACAGCAGAGGTGCAAGGGACCATTGAATCCAGCCCTGCCAAGGAGGCACAGTGGGGAATTGAACACCCAACCTCTCCTAAACCATTGAGCTATCCAGCATGCAACATACATAAAAGTCAAACACAACTCAAAACATTGCAATACTATATTAGAATGGATAATAGCATATGCTGCCAGCTATAAGAAGTTTTATATGTACAGTGGTGCCTCGCTTACCGATCGCTCCGTTGAGCAATGAAATCACTTTGCGACAGTGTTTTTGCGATCGCAAAAGCGATCGCTTGGCGATGTTTCCTATGGGGAAAAATCGCTGTGCGATGATCACGCGGAAGCAATGACCGCAAAGGACCCATTTTTAACAGCTGATCGGCAGTTCCAAAATGGCCGCCGCAAAAACAAAATGGCCGCCACTGTTTTGCCTCGCTCTAGAGGCACCCAAAATGGCTGCTGCTATGGAGGAATTTTGCTTAAGGTTGGTTTCTAAGCCCATAGGAACGTATTAAACGTGTTTTAATACGTTCGTATGGGCTTTTTAAAATCGCTTAACAATTAAATTACTTAGCAACGTTTTTCCTGGAACGGATTAACGTTGCTAAGTGAGGCACCACTGTATATGTATACAGTTTAAATCTCTGGAAGTTACTACTGAATGGAACACAAACAAAATATGGCTCACTAATGGTCAAAATAGATGTTAAAAGTAATGCTCATTCCCTCCAGCAACAAACAAATCACAAGATATGGATTGGAGGAAAATTGTGTACTATGACAAACAAATGCCTTTCATTGTCAGAGGGAACACTGCTTCCAAATACATACAGCCATTTGGTAGGATGTCAGATAGCTCCATGGACACAAGACACTGCTGTTTAATAAGGAACAAGGAATGTACATCGCCCAATTTGCTGGATCAGGTCAATAACCGCTTAAGCATGGTGATCTGGTGACCTTCCAAGTGATCCTCCCCTACTTCCCCAAATTATAACTTTAACCAAGAATGCCTTACTCAGTCAATCTAGTGTTGAGTGTTCCAATCTGGGTGGTATCAAACCAGGCCATCTCTTGGTGGAGCACAGCAAAAAAGAACTTGTTACGTATTCTTGCAGTTTGTCTTGTAGAAGCGACCACAAAGGCCCAGATGTGAATAAAGCCAAACACCAGTACGCCAAAGCCAATTCCAACAAAGTAGTAAGCATGTCTGTCAAAGACATTAAAAGGCAACCAGATATTATCATTTATTTCTATATGCTGGATCTGACCAAAAGAGACAGTGCACAATGGCTAGACAAGTGAAGAGACTGCCCCCTTCAGACAGAATTTTACATTGCAAAAAGAAGTACATTTGCAGTTTTTAAATATTTACTAATGTTTGCATATACAACTCTAATCAGACTCTTAAACTTCATTTTCAATTCCTTCCCATTACTGAGTAAATGCAAAATCTCAGAGGGTCAAGGATTATTCATGAGAAAGTCCCATTTAGTTCCTCAAAAGAAGGGTTGCTATTTATTTACATGAGATGCAAAATATTTCACAGCATCTCAAAAGAAGTCTGAATATCCTAGCATATATGTCCACCTTTTGGGACAGAGAAGTGCACTTACTCAGCACTCAAATTGCTCAATTTTATATTTTTTTAAAAAACCAAACACAATCAAACATAGTATATAAAAATACTACAAAAGCGTTATATGAAAAAAAAACCATCATTATTATGCCAAAGTCATTCAATAAAAGAAGTCTAAATTAAATTAGTGAAAAGTCATTTATAAAAAGTGAAAATTATCATTTTGATTGAGATACATAAAACCTCAGTTACATTTGCAAAAATATGTTGTTGTTGTTTTTGCTATAGCCAAGTGATATAATTCATTCATTCATCAGAACTGTCTCTTACCATTAATCTGCCTTGCCAGCATAAGATTTCTTAGTTATGGGTGTCCATTTTCATGTTCTCTAAGCCTCTTCTACTGCTCCTGATTTTCCATTTGCATTTGTTCCCTTTTTATATGTGTTTCTTATATTTAAAAAAGTGGCTATAACAATCTAAGATAATCTCTTCAGATCATCTAAGTAGTGAAGTTACTTGAAAGGAATATAACAGCATTCAAGAGGGGTTTTTTTAACCATTTGCTATAAGTAATGAGTTACCAATTAATTTTTATTTATGTTCTCTAGGTTGCCTATTTGCTATGTATAGAAAGCATTTTTCTAGCGGCCAGAAGCTACCTTATCTTTTGCAATGTTATCACAGTCATCTTCTTTATCACAAATTCTTGACCATACAAACTTTAGATCCATCTCAAGCCATAATTACTGCAGTGGCTCTTGTGAAGAATAAGCTTATCAGTTTGGGCTCATATTCTTACAGAGCTACGGTATCTGAAGTAGATGAAAGAGACAACCTCCATTTAAGTATAAGCTGAATCAGGTTTCTATTTTTCCCCCCTTGACTAATAAAGCAAATACTAGGCATTGCTATAAACAATATATCTACCAAGGTGTTTTCATGTTGTAGCTAGTGTAACAGCACCAAGCCTGGAAGAGGATTCATTTGAACTCCTTTTGAGCAGTATACTCTCATTTATTCACACACTAACTCTTTAAAACAGTAATGAGATAGGCTCTTACATGCTCATTTGTTCTTCTATATCTGAAGCTGCTTCTGGACATGCTGAGCTATTTGCTTCTGCACCACCTGTAAACAGATTGCATCAATAAGTAATATCAGAAGATGTGTCACAGGACATTTTGGTAGTGCCACTGTAGCTTTTTTATATGGTCCTCCAACAAAGCATTCTGTTTAACCTTGTTTAAGTGGCTACTCCCTTTCTACCTTTCAGACCCGATCTCTTCTAGGCCTAGGCTACTCTCTCCTGCACCTTGAACTAAATCCAAATGTTTGTTCCAACCAGAACAGACTCACTGAATCAATACAACTTGTGTAGGTGTCGACTGAACAAGGTTCATTAATTCAGTGGATCTACCCAAGTTACAATTAACAATATCACTTAGTCTTCAGAGTAAGCAAAGAATATCTTTCCAGATATTGTTGGGTTATTAGAACTCCCATAGGTCCTCACAGCATAGCCAAGTGTGGTGAATGGTGGATGTTACAGTCCAACAATATACTTTGTGTACTACTGATATAGCCAGTTCAGTGTATCAGTAAAACACATACTGAGTCCAACACTAAGCACTGTACATTAGTTTAATGTAATGATACTGGCATTATAGAGAGAACCCTACTAGAGTAGTGTTAGTAGGCCAGAACTCTATTAGTGTTCATATAACAATCTTGTATAACTTGTTGCAGCTAACTGATGATGCCAAGCACTTCTTGGCTGTGTGTTGGTCGCTGCTTAATTGTGCAATCAAGAAGCATCTCTTGTCAATTAGCTGCAGAAAATTACACAGACACCTGATTTGCAAGTTTTACTGTAGCTTTTGGTTGCCAGTACTAATTATATGAACATCTCTTGATCCAACACCTTTGTTTACCAACAGTTTCATTAGCTTGCTATAAGGGATGTTGTCAAAGGCTTTCACATAACCAATAAAGCAAGCATGCAGAACCACATGGATGCCACAACATTTCTCTCCAGGCACATGAATGCAGAATTGTGCTGCCCTGCTTCCAATTCTCCTCAGAATCCTGATGGCTTGTGTTCCAAACCCCCCCCTTTTCTCACACTTTCTAAAATCTGCTATGTATTATAGATGTGGTGGCGCTGTGGGCTAAACTGCAGAAGCCTTTGTGTGCTGCAAGGTCAGAAGACCAGCAGTCGTAAGATCGAATCCACGTGACAGAGTGAGCTCCCGTCACTTTGTCCCAGCTCCTCGCCAACCTAGCAGTTCGAAAGCATGCAAATGCAAGTAGATAAATAGGTACCACCTCGGTGGGAAGGTAAAATGGCGTTCCCTAGTCACGTCGTAACTGACCAGATAGGCAGGATATAAATAGAATTAAATAAATAGATAGATAGATAGATAGATAGATAGATAGATAGATAGATAGATAGATAGATAGATAGATAGATAGATAGATAGATAGATAGACAGACAGACAGACAGACAGACAGACAGACAGACAGACAGACAAATCAATCAATCAATCAATCAATCAATCAATCAATAAACTGTCTTCGGACAAGCGCTGGCTCTATGGCTTGAAAAACAGGATGAGCACTGCCCCCTAAAGTCGGACACGACTGGACTGAAAATGTCAAGGGGAACCTTTACCTTTACCTATGTATTATTTTAAAGAAAACCTTAAGGAAATCACTCCTAAGTTTACAGTTCTGTATTCACTACAGGGATCTTCTTAATTGGGCAAAGCAATAACAGCTGATCACTCACCTAGATTTCAGGAAAGCATGTAGTGATATTTACCTGTAGTTCCATTTTCGGAGGTTCCCACAAAGCTGTTTGTCATTTGTCCAAAAACAATGATCAGAAGTGGCTGTCCAGTTCCGGTTATAGCAGCTGAGATAGCCCCTATGATCATTAAAACGACATCTAGTCCATCTGCAAAACTAAACTAGATTAACAATGGAAGGAAAAGAGGGGAAATAGAATGAAATTGCGGCAGAATAAGAACACAGAGCAAAACACATTCCCTTTGATTTAAAATGTCTAATTCTCAAAACGTTTGGTTGCACAAGAGGGTCAGTATGAGAATTGAGTTCTATTTATAAAGAGTAAAGAACTATTTATAAAGAGTAAAGAGTCGTCTTTTAGACCAGATGGGCGGGGTATAAATCAAATAAATAAATAAAAATAATTAGAACAGCTTTTGCCAACATTATTCCCTGAAATGTAGTATAAGAGAAGTCTCACAATGGGACTTATGGATTAGACAACTTCATAGTTCACAGTATTTATTCCAGGGAGTCTTCCAAAGAAACTCTGGAACTTTAATACGTGAGGTTTATTTCAACCTCCCTAAATCTGTTGCTGTCTATATATAGTGGATTATAACAACCACCATTTCTTGCCAGCATAAACGATGCTTGTAGTCTGACATAAATGGAGAAGTTGCATGATGAAAATTCCAATACATGTTGCCAAGTCTCTGGATAACTCAGTGGTTTAGTATCTGGCCTTGGAGCCAGAGGTTCTGAGTTCAATTCCCCACTGTGCCTCCTTGACAGGAGCTGGACACAATGATCTATAGGGTACCATCCAGCTCTGACGTTCTAAGCTGATGCTGATGCTATGCATCTTGATGTGACAACCTTAGTCTGAGACATTGCCAATAGGAAGTTCTTTGCCATGGTCATGGTCATACACATATGATTTCTGCATGTATTACATGTATCAGGATGATATAAAGAGCCATCTGGAATTTTATATGCTGCATCTAAAGCTTTGGAATGAGGAATGAAGGCAATATGGTATCTGTGATTGCCCAATGGAAGACAATTCCATGGCTTCCGAAATTGGCTGATGTGACCAATTTTCCATTTGGTAACCATGGCCAGCTAGATTCTGGGCTTAAGTTAGTCTGTTTTTCAGAACTGTTTCTTAATTAATGTGCATGAAAGCATTTACATATCTTTTTTTTTAATATGACAGGCTGTTTCCATGCCACCTATTATAATTACTTCTTGTTTTCCTTTTCCAAATGTAATACATGCCACAAAAGTCTGGGGCTCTTTGGAAGCATTAATCCAATTTATGTATTGTTGGATCAATCTCAGGACAACAGGCTCACACTCACATAATTTCTTCCCTGCTCCCAAAGGAGTTTGTAATAAGTGGCCACAGAGAAAAGCAGGTTATCTGGTCTCTGTTGGCTTGGTTTTTGAGAATGTTAGGCTCTTTTATTTTCTATTTAAAGGGTTCAGGAGAAATTCTGCAGTCAACAAACCACTGTGTCTCCAACTAGACACATTAGAACTGTAGAAAGTTAATGCTAAATGGGACAAATTGCATCCTGCCATTATAAGCTGAAATTGGGATAGGGTAGGGAGAGGCGGTTCATATTTAGGCACTGGACTTCATATTTAGAAAATAGCTTAACAGACTAATTTGAAACTTGGTTCACGCCTACATTGGGATAGAAACACAAGAACTGGCTTATTTATAGGAATTAAAACTTTCATCAGTGACCATCAACAATTTGATAGGCACTGTCTGTTTCTCACATACTTTTCTATGTTTAAACTATAACAGCCAGTTTCTCTGTACAGCAACTTTCAAGAAGCAGTGCATTGTTTAAGTTCAGGAGGAAGGTCTCCCATTTTCCCTAGTAGCTGTGTAACATCTTTGTAGTTTTATCAAAAGTGAATTTTGACTTGGTTTAAGCTATAGGGTGCACAAGGTCCTTCCCTGGGCATGTTCAGTAGCAAACCGTTGACTGTCAAGTGAATCAAGTGAGGGAGTAGAATGGGAGAGTGTGTGGCTGGCTGCCGAGAAGAGGGGAGAAAATGCAAGGCAGAAGAAAAATATGTCCATTAAAGTCTCTCCTTTTGTCTCTCTCACACAGTTACCTGATTTGTGTGGGGCTAAATTAGATTACTTTCAAGATCCCTTCCAACTCTCTCATTCTGTGTGGATTGTATTGGCTTCCAGTTGACTTCCCTGTAACATGGAATGGTAGCTTCATTTGTATAGTTTCCATGTGTTTATTCCTAAATTCACCACTCTGCCACTGATAGCCATCTAGTTCCCAGGAAGTGGTGAAGCTAGGAGAAGCATGGCACTGCATACTCTACATCAAGGATACTCTCTAAGCACCAGATCTGTGGCCCTTGGCAACTGCAATTCCTGCATTTGTGAGCTTGAACAAACAGGAACTAAAAGATTTTTATTAACTGAATTTTCTCTATGCAGTGAGGGAGAACATGGATGAACTGCATAAACCTGAAGGCTGCTTCTGATCTAATAGGCCTAATTTCAGCTACTTGTCTCAACTAAGGTAGACCTGTTGAATCAACTGCTGAGCAGAAAGTCAACATTTATGAGAATCCCTTTTAATCAATGGGTCTATTGTAGTAGGAAGCAATTGGATTTAGGCCACAATAGTGGTATATGGAGTTCCATTAAGGAAGCCATGGCCTTCAGTTTGCAAGATCTTAACAAGACTGCTAATTATAGGATTTGTTGGATGTCACTAATCCATAGGGTTGCCATAAGTCAGAAGTGACCTGATGACACACAACAGAAACAAATTAATAGGTGAGGGGGAAATAAGATTTGAACAAACTCTCCCCTAGATGCCAAAGTAAAAGCAAACCAAGTTACACACTCACCAGTTCAAAAAACCCAACCATTGCTTTATTTTTTCCCTCTGGTTTTTCATTTTTCTTTCTAAAAAAGAATACAGAAAAGCAAATCAGCTGAGGTCATATGAAGCAAATTAGAAATACTGAAGTGCTTAAGAAAATCCTACTTTTTCTTGTTTTTCTTTAAATGACCATTTGGTACAGCTGTTTCATCAGGTTGGAAAGCAGCATTGTCATAGCCATTGCTCAAGAACTCTGCTGATAGAAAACAAGGCATGAATTAATACATCATGCTTTGGAGAAACCACTGAACTATCCATCCTCATATACCAAAGTATCTGCTTATGTTGAAGTCATTCAGATAGACCTAGCCTCTTCACACTGCATGCAACTCTACAATGCAAGAACAGGATGCGGAATAGCCAATCAAGTGCCTGCCTTTTAAACTATCTTAGATGAGAAAGTGTGCAAAAGCAATATAGAGATTATTCCCCATTTAATAGTGTTCCTATTAAAAACATGCAAGATCACAATAATGACCTTAATCCTAAACATGTCTTTGACCTATCTGGAAAAAAAAAGAAAGAGAAGAAAAAGAGTAAAGCATATTTTATTTATTTAACTTATATGCTGCCCACACTACCCAAAGGTCTCTGGGCAGCTTGAGTGTGAATTTTCCAACATGTATTGTGTGCTGCTAAGACGCTAGAATGTTCATAGTCAGTACAGAGTTTTATAATGAGCAAGTACTCATCATGACCATTTCTATTACTATACTCTCAAAAAAGGTCCAAAAATCACCGGTCATCAGTGTTGACTCCCAAAGAGCTCTCTTCTTGTAAGTTACATGTTCTTCTATAGGTCTTCCATAAAACTGCATCTGATTCTTCTTCCTCTTTTCCCTCTCTTTTCTACTAGAGGTTAAATGTCGTAACTATTGACTTTAGGTGTGGCAGCTCCTATCTATCAAGTTGTGATAAATCCAAACTAGTTTGTAAGGTGTTTTTTTAACCAACAGGTTCTTCTTCTTCCAGTACTCTCCCCCTCCAACACACACACACACACACACCTGTAAGGTTTTTTTTTCAACCAACAGGTTATTCTTCTTCCAATACTCTCCCCCCCACCAATTATTTTGTGTGTGAGAAGCTGCAGCAAACTCTACTTTTTGTTGCTCCTTACATGGCCAAAGTAATGGATTGTCATTGCCCTTTCAAGACAAAATTCTTAGTATTGTACTAAGGAAAGTTCACCAATGTATTTGTTGGGACCATCTATTTCCTATCCAGCTACTGTCAGGACTGCAGTGAAGCTGAGAGGGAACAGGGGAGCATGAGAGGATGAGGAATAGATGATGGTGTCATCCTGGGGTGCTTCAGGTCTGCCAGCCCTTGACCCACTGCTTAGAGCTCTTCATCATTTGTCCACCTAATCTGTTAATGAAATAATAGTAGAACGAAACCACTCTTCCTGTGGGTCTCTGACTTTCATCATTTGGAACATGGATGGTTTTCCATAACTCCCCACCCAAATAAGCAACATTACAAAGCCATTACAAAGCATGATAGATGAAAAAGAGCAGAGTAGATTGAAAAATATTGTCTGTGTCACATTAGGACAGGTAACCTCAATATTCATGCTTTCAAATCTCAAATGCCTTTTTACCCATAGTTGTGTGAAAATCTGACATAATGGATAAGGAGCAATCCAAGACCGTTCTAATGATTGTTTGTAAACATACTGTTAGCCACTTCAGTGAATTGTAGAACAATCTGCATACACAAATGTACCATGATAGATACAGTGGCTAGATGCAATTTCTCAGCTATCAAGCAAAAACAGAACAGCTTTCAGTGTTTGGAGGGGGTTATCACAATAAATATTATTACACAAAGGTATGCAAATGAAAAGAGAAACACCCTTAAATTTTAGATATAATTTTTTAAAAATTAAGATGTCATAATCTACCTGGTCCGGAGTGTTCATTCACTGTGTAACTTTTGAAATGACCCTTCATCATTCTGTTCTACAGTACAGTTAGAATGGATGTGTAAATAATATTTATCAAATATCTGCATTAAAAGAGAAAAGAACAAAGCCATCTTACTCAGAAAAGATTCTCATTCTAATTTTTTTATTAAACATGTTCATTTGATCACATTTATCTTCCTTATTCATCTCTTAGATGTAATGTCCTCATGTTAGGATAAACATTGGTGACTAAAAGTAATGAAACAGTTTACGAGTTAAAAGAGAGATGTTCAAAGTGGGGCCCTCCAAATGCCATTGGATGCAGCTTTCACTAGCCAGCCTCTATAACCTTGGACAAGCTGCGCAGGCCTAGGGGGCCACAAAAGAAGGGACGGATAAGTCACTTCTGAATGTTTAGCTGCCATTGGCTCTGTTAGCAAGTCCCAAATGCAATACATTGCAGAAATCAAGTCTGGACATCAACAAGTTCCTTTCCTAGGAGAGAAGGAACTTTTCTCTTTATACCTATGAAACCATGGAAGGGATCACCACAAACCAGAATGTTAAAATGGCATATGGTTGTTGTTGTTGTTATCATTATCATTACTCTTACCATTGTTATTCTTAACAGCTATGAAACCAAGAAACTCTTATGACACCATAGCCCACGATTGCCTTTGGGCAGAACTAATGTTTGTCAGCACTACTTCCTTGAACTGCATAGACACACAGAAAAAGAAGCAGTAGGGTGGATTTGATCTCAGTTCCTCTCTCCAGATTGGTGCAGAAATGTATTCTGGTTGGTGGTATCAAAATATTTTCAAAACAATTAGAAGATTCACACTGCCCTTGCAGTCCCCCAATACAAGGACGATATTAAGAGCTAAATAGACAGTTTGAGTGCTCAAACCCAGGCCTGAAACAAGACCGACATGGATCCAAATAATCAGCATTATATAACAGCCTTTAAAGTTGACCAGCTACCACTCACTTGAACACTTGGTTTAAAAAGGAGATCTGAAATTGACCAAAAGGTGGAGCATCCAAGGAAGGTTTTGTTAAAGACTACCTTATCAAACTTTTCCCTTCCATCAGCTGGAGAGGCCTCTGCACAGAATAATATAACCTTTAACCCCCATAAATTAAGGATTAAAAAGCAGGTGTCAAGGCACATTCATTCAAGCTGCTTGCACAACATCTTCAGGATGCAACAGCATCCATCAAAAACACTACAGAGCACCAGTTGATGATGGCCTCATCATTAAACTTCAGTAACCTTAAACTGGTATCTAAGCAAAGTCAGAAGTGAACAATTTTATTCTTTTATCGGAAAATAGACAATACAGTTCTAATCAACTACAGCTATTTCTCTTTCCCAGTCAGTACCGATGCTGCATTGCCGAGAACCGAGGAGGACACAACTATCAGAAGCTCACATGTTTAGGACTTGGAAACGCAAGCCATATCAGCCATATCTTTCACCACTGGATAGCCACTGCCTTCTTGTGTGTATATACCTGGTGGAGGTTGGTGCCTATCACGACTGGTAATGCCGGATGATCAATGAAAGGGAAGCAAAAAAGAACAGTAGACAGGACTAATTTTCATTTTGTTCCCTTTCTCCTCCCTTTCAACAGTACTACAGCATTCACCATCTAAGCAAACTGATCTGAGGAATATACATTAGTTCAATAGGCTTCATATTTTGTACTCCTTTTTTTTTGTTATGGGAAAATTATGACCTCTAATGTCCTTCGAGCCACCAGGCAGGAGGACACTGCTCCACTTCCCTGGTACACTAATTTTCATCGTTTGGAACTGAGTGCTAGGACCTCCGAACTTGGTATTTTGTTGGTTGAGCTATGAGGGCCACTTTTGTTGAGAAACTGACCAAATGTGGGGACAGCTTTCACCAGGATGACTCCTTTCCCGCTTGGGTAGTGCTCCTACTCTCATATCACCTCCTGTTTGATTAAGCAAGATAATTGCAATTCCCTCAACATTCTGATCTCCATTCTTTCCAGATAAAATCAATAATAATGCAATAAAACAGAAGCATTAAGATTGTATAGCTGGTGTAACTCAGTGGGTTATTTCAATTCATTAACATTATAATTTATCTACTGGTAATAACACCTTTTGTCCCAATCTGTTTTACAAATTCATTCTCCTCTGCCATGTTTCCCATTTATGATGGGGTTTTAAAGACTTGTCTCAGGTTGTGACAACACAAGGGTGGGGGCAGGGATATGCTTTGATCTTCTGTGATCTACTTTTTCAAAGAGGTTCCTTGCTTGTTTCCGTGGGTGAAATCAGTGTAGATATCCAAGTTTCTCACAAAAGACAGAGGGTGCAACTACACTGCACTGTCTAAAAAACCCAAAAGTTGTCAGAGTATGTAACTGTACATATCATTTCCTGCCATATGTTCTTTGTGTCATTGTTCCCATCCTCATGGAACAGTACTGGTTTAATTTAGGGCAGGGGACCACTCTTTAACTCACTTTAAATAGACCTGGGCTGGCACTTTGATCCACCCAAAGGTCTGTCCTGACTCCGCCTGCATTTTGTCCTTCTCCATAACTATCTTGTCTGGAGTTTATGTTTTTCTGAATGTTTGCAGTGGAATTTTTGTTGTTGTTGTTCCTTTAAATTTGCAAGTATTTGTGTCCTCTTTTTTATTCTAAGTAGCATAGCGCTGCATCATTGTTGCAGATTGTGTATTTTTCAGTAACTTGCCTCTCATTTCCTTTGACAATCTGCTATTGACTATAGACCTTCCTCTGCATTAGGCTGGCATAGCTTGCAAATCCAACAATAAAGAAAGACAACACATACGTTCATGGACACACATGCACAGACACAAGACCAAAAAGAATGCAGGAAAAAAAGAAAAGATCTAAGCTGGCAGAGTGCTTTTACAGAAAAGCTGAAGAGGGAAGGCAAACCACATGTCAGCAACAAGATAGCAAAACTCCAATACCAATGTGATGCAGCACTAAAATTCAATGATATATTTTCTAAAAAAAAAAATTAAGGGAAGCAGTTCATCAAGCATGCATAATGGCTAATTTACCCATAAGGCAGCATCCCGCATGGCACCAAGACATCAGCAGAAGGAACACCCCTGCACACAAAATACAGCGCAACCATCCACATAACCAAAAACAGGTAAAAAACCGGCATGATGTAGAGCTATTTAAAATAAACAACCTCCTGATGGATGTTTTTTTTAAAAAAAAATCCTTGAGGAAAAGTGTAAGTTTCCCCCTCACTTAACAATAACATCATGTAGTTGGGAAATTCTGAATCAATTTTCATCATGCTAATCCCAGAGTGGTGTGGTGGCGCTGCGGGTTAAACCGCAGTTGTAAGATCAAATCCATGTGACGAAGTGAGCTCCCGTTGCTTGTCCCAGCTCCTACCAACCTAGCAGTTCGAAAGCTAGATAAATAGGCAGCACCACAGTGGGAAAATAACATCATTCCATGTCTAGTCGTACTGGCCATGTGACCACGGAAACTGTCTTCAGACAAACCCTGGCTCTATGGCTTGGAGAAGGGGATGAGCACCGTGCCCTAGAGTCGGACTGGACTAAATGTCAAGGGGAACCTTTACCTTTACTAATCCCAGAGTATTCACAGTCCATAATTTTCAGTCCAGTTGTCAACTAACCACTGGAACTTTTTAGTTTAGGAATGAAACAACAGATCTGGCAACTTGCTTACTAGCACTTTCCACTTCTTTTTTTAAAAAAACATATTTTTCCATAGTGGTTTAGTCACTGATAATGTTTCAGCACTAACTTTGGAATGCCTCTTAAAAAAAAAGTTGCAGACAACAAGTGTGCAGTTAAGAACTGATACCTTACAAGTGCCTCTTTGTATCAGATCAGGTAATCACAGTAAATCAGTTAATTTAATTTAATTAATACATTAATGGCTGTTCTAAATCCAGTGAAAACTGTGGAGTAAATGACTGGTGTAGATGTCCACTCATTCTTCCAATCTAGCTGAAAGTAAATGAGCGAGTGGCATGTACAGACCTTAAAATGAAGGGAATCATCCTCTGAATTGGTGATGAGGGGACTCTTCATCCCAAGGGCAGAAATTTGTCAGATCAGAAAGTCTCTCTTCCAATCTAGCTGAAAGTAAATGAGTGAGTGGCATGTACAGGCATTAAAATGAAGGGAATTGTCCTCTGAATTGGTGAGGGCAGAAATTTGTCAGATCAGAAAGTCTAATGACTGAAACACACAAACTCCATAAGAGCAAAAAATTAGAACCTTGTGTTTCACCAGCTGCCATTTATCTCTGAAAAGGGGTTAATTCCAAGACAATCCTATTTAGCCATAACAAAATTCACTTGGTTATCAAGGTATACTATTTTCACCAATGGAATAATTCCAGACAACATCAGCTATATTTATCTACAGTACATTGCTTCTATGTTCTGTAAGCATAAAATGAAATCCAAAATATTGAATGCATGTAACCTTTTGAGAATCCAGTTCAATTACAATTCATCAGAGAAAGTGTTCACCTGTGGAACTTTCAACAACCACACTTCCACCAAGTTTGTGACTGGGCACATCAATATGAACCTGACCCTCAGCAAGAACATCAGCAACCTGAATCCTCGGATGCACGGAATAGAAGAGACGAAACGGGACCCTACACTCTTCTTTATCTTAAATTTACAGACCCCTCTGCTTGGGCAGGAGTAGCCATGGGGCGACTCCACACGGATCTTGACGTTACTGAGAAATGCCGTCCGCTCACTCTTTAAAATGCAATGTTCAAACCTATGCTACGATCCTGTCTCTCGCAAACCCCACTGACTTCGGCAGCGCTTAACTTCCGAGGAAATACAAAAAGATTGCACGGCAGGCAAAATACAAACAGCTTGCACTGCAGGCAAACTCAATAAGGCTTTTAAGCAAGCCCCGCTAAACTCAATAAGACTTACATCCGAGTAGATACACCTGCATTGCAACCAGAGATGATAAGGCCTGTATATACTTTTGTCAAAAAATAATAATAAACCCCACAGAACTGATCAGAGATGCTTACTTCTGTGTAAGCACGCGAAGCATCGCGCTGTTGAATAAACCGCTATGTTGCGGTTTGTTTCTTCCCTACAAGCGTTTAAAGGTGGTGGCCACCGTCCTTTTTTTGCATCCGGCTACTCTTTTATTCAGTCCAGTTCACTTCCAGGAGTCCTTACCTGTAACCTTCTGGGGAGCTTATTCGCCACTTTAGCCTGGCACCCCCAAACTCGACTGTGGTTCTTCAGCAGCCACAGGGGGGAAAAAAGCGCAAATGCCTTCGCTCAGAAGATGGAGCGGAGCTTTTCAAGCGTCACCTCGTTTGCCTCCTCTGGAGGGAGGGCTCCGTGGAGCTGTTAAAAAAAAAGACACGCCCTCGGAGAGGTCGGATCCTTCCCCGCGGGGTCAGGTTTCAGCCGGGCACGAAACGAAGGTAACTCTAGCCGGCGAAGGTAACTCAGCTGTAGCCGTCCCTAAACAGGAGGGAAGAAAGAAGACCTCCATAGCCCCTTGCCATGCCTGCTCGGAGGGGAGCCTCAAGTAGCTTTTCTTTCAAAATGCATAACTGTCAAGAAAGGCATCTGAACGATTGAGATATTCAGGAACAATTGGGCCCTACAGCAACCAGGAATTCTGAAAATGTAGTTTGGTTTATAACTCAGCCATAATTAAATCTGTGCTGCAGGAGTCAAGGTGGCTGTTTGTCACCTTTTGGTATGTCTCTATCAGGCTGAAAATGTCGTTTGGTTTGGGTAGTAAACTCAGCCATAATTAAGTCTGCGCTGCAGGAGTCAAGGTGGCGGTTTGTCACCTTTTGGTATGTCTCTATCAGTTGCTGAGGAGATTCAGGATAGAGGGTGTCCTGGCAGGCGCACCCTGATAGCTCACTGAAGGCTGGATGGAAGAGGCTTTTAATCCTACCCAACACAACCTCTTTTTTTTACATTCCTATTCCTGTTTGGGATCAGGCGTAACAGTTAATGAGTCCAACAGTTATCTAGGAAGAAAAGAACAATGGTGGTGTATGGGCAGCATCATTCTGAAGGAAGAAATAGGGTTATCTGCATGCAGGAGAAGAGCAGCAGGAAAAGAGGAAGATGAATGTGAGATGAATTGACTCCCTAAAGGAGTGGTTCCAACCTTGGGTAAACTGGGTGTTCTTGGACTGCTACTCCCAGAAACCCCCAGCCAGCACAGCTAGTGGTAAAGGCTTCTGGGAGTTGCAGTCCCGGGTTACCCAACGTTGGGACCCACTGCCTTAAGCAGTAGTCCCCAACCTTGGGCCTCCAAGATGTTCTTGAACTTCAACTCCCAGAAATCCTGGCCGGCAGAGGTGGTGGTGAAGGCTTCTGGGGGTTGTAGTCCAAGAACATCTGGAGGCCCAAGGTTGGGGACCATTGCCTTAAAGGAAGCCACAGGCTTGAGTTTGCAAGAGCTGAGCTGGGCTGTTCAGGACAGGACATTTTGATGGCTGCTCATTCGTAGGGTCACCATAATTTGAATATGACTTGATGGCACATAACAACATCTGCATCCAATACAGCAAGGGTGCTACATGATGGACTGCTCTGAGTATAACCAATCAGAGGAGCTTTTCCATCGTATCCTCCCTATGGGGGTCTTGGGGTGAGAGGAAGTAAAAGCTGGGAAGCATGGAAAAGGTAGAAGTGGAAGATGCTTCCTAAGGGGTAGCCATGTTAGCCTGTTTCAAGGAGAAGATGTCATTTGGACACCTCACTGTGAAACTCTGTAAACGAAACAGGCAGGATAAAAGTGGCACCATAAAAGCCTGGTCTGGAACTACCCCAATAATTATTCCTACATTGGAACAAGTTCTATATTCAGCCAATTAGCGACAGCTACAGTGGAGGTAGATTTCTGCATCACGTTGTCATTATTGCCAGCCTCCTTGAAATAATTTACATCTGAAGGTCTGGGCCTGCTGTTTGTGGTGAACTATTAGAAATGGATCTGAGTTATTTTCTTTTAAAATCAGCATTAGAAACCCCAGGAAGAGACCCTCATTATTCATAATGATGCTTTGGTAGGAGCACTGAAAAAAACAACAGCTCAGTTCCCAAACTAATTTGGAGCCTAATAAATGGCACAAAGTAGAGCTGAAATGAAATGTCACATATTAATGAATTTCTGGCTGCAATTATTTACCCTCATATGTGCAAATATGTCTCAGGGAGTTCTGTTGGACTGGCTTTTGAGTAGAACTGTTAAGCTTGCACTGCCAGAAACCTCTGTTCTTTCTAAATTTAGCATGAAATTTCTATCCTTATATTCATAGTTTGTTAAATGTACTTTGAAATGCAGGTACCTTACAGCACAAACTTGTGCATGCTTACCAAGAAGCAGGGCTGGCCCTAGTATTTGGTGCAGCGAGGCAATCACCTAAAGTGACAGGATATTGGCAGTGGAGAAAAACATCACATTTCTCACTCCACCTCTGCTACCCATTCTGGGCTGACTCTTTTTCACCTATTCATGCTGCCAGAGACCATAGAGGAAGCAGAGTTTACAGTACTATGAACAAGCCAGTGGCACCAGAAACTTTTTCCCCACTTGAATCTCTGGCTCCAAGAGGGTCTTTGAAGCCAGTACATTACAGGTGAGATGATCTGCAAGATCTCCCATGTTCCAGCATAGACAACCTTGCAAATCACCCCTCCCAAAGTACATTGGTTGCAAGGACTGCTTCAATATCAGATATTCATGAAAAAGCCAGCCTCGGGTGCTGCTGCCTCAAGTTTTTGTCACCACCACTACTACGACGTTCTTCTCCTACTGTGGCATTCACAAGATCCACCAGCAGCATTTTCTCACTGGATGCATATGAGGGTTGAGAGATCATGCTGTGTGTGTGCGTGGAGGTAGATGGTGGTGGTAACCCCACATAATGAAGGCAGTGCTCCACTTATCAACCCTCCCCAGAAGTACATCCAACTCTTTTGTGTCTGGCTTATTGACCGAAAATTGAAGAGTCATTTATGTGGACAATGAGTAGGAGTGGTCGTATATGTTGTGTACTTTATGTCTATAACTCATGAAGAAGTGTCCTCAGTCTAAAATGCTTCAGCACATCAAATACCAAACTAACAGCCAGTCCTGGACCTTTTGTCCCCCCTTTTTTCCTGGGGGTTGGACATGCCAGTTGTTCCAAAAAATTCACTACCACCTCCCAATGGGATGTAGTTTTAAAAGCATTACTCTATTTGCCTAGGAGCCCTATAGGGCTCAGGGAAAGTGCAGTTTTTCATGTTGTTGGAATACAGATCTCATCATTCTTCACCACTGATTACACTAATAGCTAGGGCTGATGGGAGCTGCAGTCCAACAATAGATAGCAGGCAATGTGTTTCCCACTTCTAGTTTAAAGGCCCCCTGTAAGTCACCCCACCAAACACAATTGAAAGTATTTCAAGAACCAAATTCCTCGTAGACCTGGTCCCTAAGTAGCTGGTGATTCATGTTGCATAGGGGATGAAAAAATAACTGAAACCGGAGGTATTCAAAAATAGAATGTACATGTACCACAAAGATAAGATCCATTTATTTATGTATTTATTTCATACATTCATATAAGGCCTGACTTAGCGATATGTACTACTCTGGGTGTTTTACACACCTTGAACAACAAACCTAACTTTAAATTAAATATTGAAAACCTAAAAACTACCCCCAAAACACTAAAGATAAGGGTTAGAATGAATGTAAAGGATGGCGGTAAGGATGAATGAAACCAGGTCCCACATACTTCCATATAAAGCTCTGTCTTGAGTATCTTTTTAAATGAAGCCAATGAAAGGGCTGGACAGACCTCAGGAGGAAGCCTGTTTTACAATGATGGTGCCACAACCGAGGAGGCTTGATTTCTGCTAACAGTTTTCCAAACCTTCATCGGTGTGGTCACCTGCAATAACAAGGCTTGGGGAAACTGGCTAGGATGAGCATAAGTTCTTAGGGGAAAACGTTCAAACAAGTAACAAGGCCTGAAATTATGAAAGGCTTGGTTTGTGATTACCAGAACCTTGAATCTGACTCGGTGAAGGAGCCAATGTAGGCCAGGTACAACTGCAAAGTATGGTCAACCTTCTTTACACCTGCAAGCAGTCTAGCCACCACATTCGCACTTGCTGCAGTCTCTGAGTTAGCCTCAACAGCAGCCCCACATTGCAGTAGTCAATCGTTAAGATCACGAGCACATGAACCAATGTCCTTAGGGACTCCTCAGCCAAGTAAGGATGCATTTGGCCAATCAGCCTAAGAAGGCCAGCCTGGACACAACAGATATCTGCTGTGAAAGGGCTGAGTCCAGGATCACCTGCAAACTCAATCCCAAATGGGGAGAGTAATTCTATCCAGCTCAGGTAGATGCCCCCAACCAGTCTAGAGCCTCTCCCAATAACAGGATCTCTGTCTTGTCTGGGTTCAATTTAGACCTATTGGCCTCAGTCCACTCTAGAACCAAGGCCAGATAATGCTCCAGCAGCTGGACAGCATCCACTGCAGAAGATGTAAAGGAGAGACAGAGGTCAAAGTTCCCTCTAAGCTGTGTGTATCTGTGCTCACCCGGAACGCCATCGGAGTTGCACATGGGCAGCTGGCAGCCGGTTTATTTATTTCCCATTTTGAATGAAGCCCCATCCACCCTCCATCGGGGTTATACATGGGCAGCTGGCAGCCAGTTTATTTACTTCCCATTTTGAATGAAGCCCCATCCACCCCAATGCACACGGAACGAGGCTCCCACACAGTGGGACGGAAACTTGGAGAATGTTGATAGAGCTGCATGTCATCAGCATACCAGTGACAACACACTCCAAATCTCTGTATGACGTCTCCTGGCAGACTCACAGAGATGTTAAAGAGCATTTTTAAAGATCAGTTCCTAGTCTGTACGAAAGAAGTTTAGAATATCATACTCCAGGGTGCTTGGAAAGGGAAATTACACACCTAAGGCTACCATTCCAAGAAGCCTTGATTGCAACATAAGCAAAGTTTGATCTGACCTCTTCCTGGACAAACACATCTTCTTAGATTGTCATCTTTGATCTCACAGGGAGTCATTTTTTTTGGTAGAGGTTGCAGCATCCATTCCCTTCTCTGGTATCATATGCAGTAAGATTGGCACCATTTCTGAATTTTCAAAACCCATGTTATGACAATATCTTCTTCAGACCCACTCAAAACTAAACTGGTGTGCAAATGTTCAGGTAAGGGAACTAGTGTGGCACAATAGTTAGGGTCTTGAACCAGTACTCTAAAGAGTACTAATTCTAGAGTTCTGGCATTCTAAAGTGTTGGAATAGGACTCAGGTAAACTTGAT